AGAGTAAGGCTTTGGACAAATAGATTGATAAAGTGGCTACGGTGATGAGTTCAAACATAAGAACAACTGTGAGGAGGGTACAGGACTGGGCAAGTGTTTCATTCTGTTGCAATGAGTAGGAACTGACTGGATAACGCTTAAAAACAAAGAGTCTGAATCAAATAGATAGCATGAGTTGAGTTTGAAATGAAACCCCAGTACTTCAGTGGGTTGTGTTGCTCTGCTAATGTGGGATCCAAGGTTCAAATCCACCAGCCACTCCAGAAAAGATAAGGCTGCCTTTCTCTCCTGTCCCCTGCAGTAAAGATTTACAGTCTCTGAAACCTGAGACCTACAGGGTAGATATATGGGTGGGTTTATGTTGGGATTTGCTTTGCATACAATACTGAAACTAAACCATCTGAGAAAGGGAAAAACATGAAAATTCCTCCTTCTGATATCAGAACTCTATATTTTGAGCAGGAACTAACAAAGGGCAAGTTGTTAGCAATAAGCCATGTGATATTTTAAGTATACGTGTCTCTTCCTCGCCTAGGAAAAGATCATACTGAAACAAAGAATATTTCAGGAAGGAAACTACTCCCTACAGTAAAATTATAAAACACAAAATAAGTATATTCCTGAGACGAATTCTATTTTTTTTAATTATATATGTATGCTTACACATATTTGTCTCTCTAAAGAACACATATGTGGGAAGGGAGGGGAGGGGAGTGGAGGGGAGGGGAGGGAAGGGAGAAAACAGGACTAGTCTATCAAGGCGCAGAGAAAGCAACCCCCCTGTTTACAGTACTGTGGCAAACAAGCCTCAAGGCACAGCTTCAACAGGTCCTGGACCTGTTCAAACAACACTGACCCAAAGCAAAATCTTATGAAATATATTGTTTATTTCTTGGTCTAGCTTAGCTTCCATCCCCTTTTCCTACCCAGTAGTATTCCTTCCCCTATTTCAGATACAGACACCAGGTTAAGCCCTTTAGTGTTATGTAAATCCGCCAAAACTTGAAAAGGCTGAACCTGCTCCTAACTCAAAAGAAATTCATCTCAATTGCCTTCACTTGCTGCAGGTGGAGCTTTTAAATCATCCAAACACTTTGAGCCTTGTCTGGTACTAACCAAGCCTACTGCCAGAGTTCATTTTGACTCCTAGCAACCCTAGGTAAGGTTTCTGATTGTAAAATTTTAGGAAGGCAGACATCTTTCTCCCACAGAGTGGTTAGTGGGTTTGTACCACTAACTTTAGGGTTAAGCAGCTCAATGCCTAAGCAACAGCCTCACCCAAGGACCATATTCACCTTTTCAGACTTATCTACAAATCTTTAAAGACAAGAGTTAGGATGTGATCTATCTAGTTCACACCCCAGGGGCTGCCTGTACTATAAACTCTTAATGATTTTTTTACAAGCACTTGCTCCAATCTTACAATCAGGAGCCCTGGTAACATAAGAAACCACCAGCCACTCCTGGGAGTAAGAAGTGGCTTTCTACTCCCATAAAGAGTTACAGTCTCCGAAACCCGCCGGGGCAGTTCTAGCCTATCCCACAGGGTCGCTATAAGTCAAAATTGACTTGGTGGCACTGAATTTGGTTTCACTTAGAATCAGGCAGATGTATTTGTCAATGATTCAGTAATCAGGCTTGAATGTGAACCAGGCTTGCTGATTAAATGTCTTGTTCTAAATTGTGACATTCCTTAATTGAGAGGGAGAGAGACTACTTGGCATCAGAAGTCAGAATAAATCTGTCAGAAGTACAAAAGTAAACCGAATATTGGTCCTTTAAACTGTATGTGCTGAAGAGAGAATGCTTCAAGGAAGCACACCTGGTCATTCCTTGGCTTCCTCTCCAGGAACCTAGCCCCAAGAGATGGGCTCTGGGGGTTCAGGGAGTCCCTCTTCCAAAAGGTTTCCTTCAAACTGTGCTTTCTCTCTTAATCATCTATCCATAGTATCTCAAACACAGATCTTTATTTCCTGTTATCTACAGTGAGTATGTGATTGATATGGTTTTTCTTCCTAAAAGAAATATCCAATGTATAGCCGATACTGTTATTTAGTTTTTGTTTTTCTAACTGAGGTTTCTGTTTTAAAAACTTCATTTTTATTTTCATTTTCCAAAATTATTTTCTTGGTGAAAATGACTTGCTCAGCGTAGTGCTAGGATAGCTACAAATCTAATAAGTCATTTGATGAAAATGTGAATGTTTTCCTTCTAATAAATAAAAGGTTCACCTAGGATTCAGTGAAATAAGTGGTAACTCTATAGCTAAACTCCACTCAATTATGCAAACCAAACGCACAGCCACTGACTCTACAAGACAGGGCAGAACTGCCCC